GTAGGAACGGAAGGAGCATGATGTGTAGATGCGTTTTGCAAAGCCCCAAAATTTCCGGGCGAGTTACCACTACCACTACCACTACCACTACTACTACTGCTACTACTACTACTACCACCACTACTACTACTACTACTACTACTAACTACTACTACTACTACTACTACTACTACTACTACTACTACTACTACTACTACTACTACTACTACTACTGTCGCTGCTGCTACTACTACTACTACTACTACTGGACTACTACTACTGTTGCTGCTGCTACTACTACTACTACTTCCGCTACACGACTGCCAGCCACGAGGTCTAGATGCGTTTTGCCGGGCCGAAAAAACGCATCTAGCTTTCAGTCTTGCCGAAAACCATGGTCCAGGGCCAACTCCGGAAACGAGCGTAGGAACGGAAGGAGCACGACGTGTAGATGCGTTTTGCCAGGCCAAAAAAATGCATCTGTCGTGTTTCCGGGCGAGTTACCACTACCACTTGCACTACTACTACTACTACTACTACTACTACTACTACTACTACTACTACTACTACTACTACTACTACTACTACTACTACTACTACTACTACTACTACTACTACTACTACTACTACTACTACTACTACTACTACTACTACTACTACTACTACTACTACACGACTGCCAGCACGAAAACAGCACGAGGTCTAAATGCGTTTTGCCGGGCCGAAAAAACGCATCTAGCTTTCTTTCTTGCCGAAAACCATGGTCCGGGGCCAACTCCGGAAACGAGCATAGGAACGGAAGGAGCATGACGTGTAGATGCATTTTTCGGGGCCGGGAAAACGCATCTGGGAGCAGACTCCTTCTAGAACTGCCTTGAAAATCCCCTGCTTGTCCAGATGCATTTTTCGGGGCCGGGAAAACGCATGTGGGAGCGTGCTCCTTCTAGGAGCTGCCTTCAAACCACCGCTCGTCTAATGCAATTTTTCTGGTCAAAACGCATCTGGGAGCATGCTCCCTTCTAGACTGCCTTGAGAATCCACCGCTTTTGCATTTATTCCGAGCCGGGGCGCAGGGGGCAAAACGCCCATCTGGGAGCATGCTCCTTCTAGGAGCTGCCTGCCATCTGATGGAGCATGCCTCCTTCTAGGAGCTGCCTTGACAATCCACCGCTCGTCTAGATGCATTTTTCCGAGCCGGGAAAACGCATCTGGGAGCATGCTGCTTCTAGGAGCTGCCTCGAGAACCCACCGCTTGTCCAAATGCATTTTTCGGAGCCGGGAAAACGCATCTGGGAGCATGCTCCTTCTAGGAGCTGCCTCGAGAACCCACGGATTGTCCAAAAGCATTTTTCGTCTAGAAGCATTTTTCCGAGCCGGGAAAACGCATCATGGAGCATGCTGGGAGCATGCTGCTTCAAGGAGCTGCCCTCGAAAACCCGCTTGTCCAAATGCATTTTTCGTATCGGTAAAACCGCATCTGGGAGCATGCTCCTTCTATAAGGAGCTGCCTTGAGAATCCACCGCTCGCTAGATGCATTATTTTTGCCGAGCCGGGGCAAACGCAGCTGGGAAGCAAGCTGCTTCTAGGAGGCTTCCCTCGAAGAACCCAACCGCTTGTCCAAATCATTTTTCGGAGCCGGGAAAACGCATCTGGAAGCATGCTCCTTTTAGGAGCTGCCTTGAGAATCGAATCCACCGCTCGTCTAGATGCATTTTTCGGAGCCGGAAAACGCATCTGGGAGCATGCTCCTTCTAGGAGCTGCCTTGAGAATCCACCGCTCGCCCAGATGCATTTTTCGGGGCCGGGAAAACGCATCTGGGAGCATGCTCCTTCTAGGAGCTGCCTTGAAAATCCCCTGCTTGTCCAGATGCATTTTTCGGGGCCGGGAAAACGCATGTGGGAGCGTGCTCCTTCTAGGAGCTGCCTTGACAATCCACCGCTCGTCTAGATGCATTTTTCGGAGCCGGGAAAACGCATCTGGGAGCATGCTCCTTCTAGGAGCTGCCTTGAGAATCCACCGCTCGTCTAGATGCATTTTTCCAAGCCGGGCAAACGCATACGGGAGCATGCTCCTTCTAGGAGCTGTGCCTTGAGAAATCCACCGCACGACAGATTGCATCTTTCGGGGCCCGGGAAAAAAAAAAAGGACGTCTTTCACGGGCTTCTGGGAGCTGCCTTGACAATCCACCGCTCGTCTAGATGCAATTTTCCGAGCCGGGAAAACGCATCTGGGAGC